CCCCAAAACCCCAAAACCCCAAAACCCCAAAACCCCAAAATTGTTAGATAATATTGAGATTATTTTTGACGATTTCTATAAAATTCAAATGGAGATCCAAGCATATGAACAGGAAAAACTAGCAAGAGCAGGGATGAACAGAAATAGGATATTAAATGATACAAAAGAAAACCCAGCATACCTTGAATACCTTAATATCAAAGGGTATAAACACTTGAAGAAAGAAAGAGGTAGCTCAGAAGTTTTAATCAATACCAACAATGAACAGAGATTCTTAAGAAATCATTCAAATTCATTCAAACCTATCCTACCTCTTAATAGTAAGCCAAGGTTTGAAACTTTAGGAACCCCTGTCTTCAACAAGGCGCTTAAATTAAAAGGTTTCAATAAGAAGGTAAAAAAATTTAAGAGAAGGAAGAATCACCAAGAGATTACTAATCTCATGATAAAACTTCCAATTGCTATCCAAATCAATGACTTTTCAGGAACCCTCAATAGGTATATCTTGGAAGATTTAACCATTAATAGACAAGACTCCCCAGATGGGTCTCAAAGCTCAGAATTCTTAGGTAATCTTTAAAGGGAATTATAATAGAACAGAATAAAACTTGTGAAAATAAAATCCAAAGGTAACTATTCTTACTTAACATGCTCCTAATTATTTTAGAAATCATAATATTGATCTCAATTGATACGCTGGAAATGAGAGCAACGGGAAAGGTAGACTTCAGCAATATTACTTATTCTCTAGATTCGAAAAGTAGCTTTAGAACTTCAAAATCCGTTCCTGCCTTCAAATCCAAATAATGACTCAAATCAGTCGAAAATAGAGCAGATCTTATACAAAGAGATCGAGTATAACAAATAAAGTACTCAAACTGCTCCAGTCCAAAAATGAGGGACAGGTACTTGTATACTCCAACCATTCCGGTTTTTCCAAAATACCTACACACTTCAGCCATCACAATTTGATTTGCTAATCTTCTTCAGGACCAGAAGTTAAAGAAAGAGGCCTTTAAGACCTTAATGGTAGTTTTAAAGAGTAAATTTGTATAGAAATAAGCAGAATTGAAGTTTACTGCTGAATGATCCAAAATTTCAAGAGAGTTACAAAACTAACCAGATTTTAGGAAGAGCAAGGTGAGGTTTTCAGAGATTTACCCTTTTAAAGTTGTTATTGAAGAATTTTAGACTTGGAGAATCAATTTATCGTAACTTTTAGTTAAAAATTTTGGACAGTTTTTTCACTTTACAAATAGAGTAAATGAATTAGAAGCTAATTTGGTTTAGAAATAAAACAGGAGTAGATACAATCTCTCGCTTGAAGAATAAATTGAAGAGAATTAGACAAACTAGGGAAAAAGAGCAAAAGCAAAATAAATTTAGGTTTTCAAATTCAAATGTAACCCCCTCTCCACGTAAGCAGCTTTTATGATTCTTTAGAGAGATGAACAAGTCTTGGGAAAACAATAAAATAATCAGATTCGAGGTATTTATCCGAGAAAATAACTCCATTATTCACCTCTCAGAATGCTAAAATCAATTTTTTCTTGTTTAAATTTAGCTTAATTCGATGTTTACTCCACCTTGCTTTCTCTATAAACTTCGTACCTATCCATTTTTGAATATTCTCAAATATGCAATTTTTTTACTTTCTTAAAGCTGCTTCTCGACTCAAAGGATCAAAAAGTATAAACAGCAAAAAGAGGAGTAAAATTACCAGAATTGGTAAGAAATTAAATGAAATTCTAAAGATATTCACTCGAGACTCAAAAATAACCTTGGCCATAATCTCTGAAACATTAAGATAGAAGAGCAGGTAGGTTATTATTTATGAAGCCTTGTTGGTCATACATTTATGCTCTGATGGGAAAAAGCACATCCAGCTAGATTCTTCAAGTTTTTAATGATAATTTTACTCTTTGGTTATTTTTAGTAATAAATAAAAATTTAAGTTTTAATCTATAAATCACCCTTCTAGCCTTACTCCACAATCCAAATCTTAGAAGGCAAGAGATTCCTCCCCGTTTCCAACCCCAAAACCCAATATAACTTTAAAAAATGTGAGAAATCCTCCAAAATCCCAAAACCCCAAAACCCCAAAACCCCAAAACCCCAACTTTGATATCGAAATTGAAACAGCTTCAAAACTCAATCTTATCTATTAAGATTAGTTAACAGTAACTCCAACCACGGCAGATACAAACTTTCCAAGCTCAACGCCAGCAAGTTCGAACTCCCCTGCTGCCAGATGGTTTTGGAATGCCTGGATATTGTTCTGCAAGAAAACAATCTGGGTGATTAGCCTGGCAGAGATTTCAATAAATCCTTCCTGGGTGACTATTCTTTCAACTTTTAATAGAATTGAATGGACCTGGCAGCTTTGGAGCAATTTAGCGAAATTGTCAATATTAATTCTGATCCTGTCCAAGAAGTTGAACCAAATATCTGGACGATAAGCATGAAGGAAAGTTGTAAAAGTGTCATTGAGAGAAAAGAAGAAAGCATTGTTATCATGGTAGCATTGGCCAGCCTGGAGTTGCTGAGTTTGCCATCCTCTGATCCATCCAAAGTAGAAATGAGCGAACCCTTCTTCAGCCTTAAGATTCATAGCATTAGTCTTCTCTGGGTTAGTTCTTGAGTAATTGTTAAAAGACCTGGCATTAATGCCAACAATCAAAACAATCATAGTTACAAAAAGAATCCCTTTCATTTTTATGGAGTTATATTTTTATAAACTTCTCCAACTATTATTAAATATTGGGGTTTTGGGGTTTTGGGGTTTTGGGGTTTTGGGG